CAATTACATCCACTTTCTGTACGATTAATGTAGGGTGCACGGTGAGTACATCCGATACTAAAACTCCGCGATTACAAAATCTCTCGGGTTGTAAGGCCGGTTACGCTAAGCGACGGAATTGATTAGTATCGCTATTCGTCTAGTTAAAGATGAACAGCTGTTTTAATTTTGAAGAATGAATTGGAGCACTATAAAGCACTCAATTCGATGGTCGAAGGTTGAGAGACTACCTGAGTAGTAGACTAGCGTGAGCTGGAGTCTACTGTAGTTGACGGACTAACTGAATAATAGACTAGCGTGAGCTGGAGTTTACTGAAGTTGAAGAGTTGAGTGTCGTAGACTAGCGTGAGCTGGAGTCTGCTGAAGTTGACTGAAGCAGATTGACTGCGATTCCGAACTTAGTTGAAATGGACAGCGCGTGCCTGATGAAACAGAGTCGTGGACTAGAGACCGAGCGAGAGTGACTGAGTTTAACTGACATTGACTGACCGAAGACAAGACACAAGAATGGCTAAGACACAAGAAACCAATGACTAATGACTTACTAATGACTGAAGAATGACTAAGAGAAGAATCGGTTTCGAGTTTTTATACCGTTTCATGGATAGAAGACTAGAAATTGATTGGCCAGTAACGCGATGGAAGGGGATGTAAAAGTGACGTAGCACACAGTGCCGCAAGTAGCAAGAAACCCCGGTCGAGCGACCGAAGCGGTACGTGCTACCGACCTTGTTATAAAAAATGCTGCCGATGAGGTGTGCATTACTCGAAAATGCAGAAATGACTCTATTGTCGGAAAGAAGACGGCTCGGAAAAATCATATACTTAGAAACTGCAATAAAGAAGGCTATGGCTCTACGAAGTTGAAAGCCCAATGAGTGACCTTTTGTTGATTACACGTCGTTCATGGAAGGACTGTTAATTTGTCTCGTTGAGCCGAAGATTCTCCGTCAATAAAATGTTTTTCTAGGGATAAAAGAAAAATATAATTCGTCCCGGAGAAAGTTAGGCGGACGCAGCACGAAAATTCCGTTGAAGGACGGAATAATTAAAGAGCATACTTTTAGCTATAATTTCCATGGTTTATAAGAGGATAAACATAATTTAACTCCTTGAAATTGTCTTTTTTTTAACCCTTATTTTATCGATTTTGATTTTGCTTTGACTGGATCTACGAAGTGGAATTCACGTCACGTCACGATGAATCTTGCAAAAACGTGTTTGGTAGACCTTTGGTAGACCTTTGGTAGACCGTGTCTGAAGAAGAATTGTTTTGCATCGGTTCGCATCTGCAGAAGTTATGACGATTTATTTGTAGCCAGTGCGTGAAAGACCGCTGAGTCAAATCAAATACCTCAATGTCAGATCACTCTGAGCGCTAATTAATTTAGCCCGATATTTCGCGAGAGCTTAAAGTTATCAAAAAATATGTTCCCACAAAAGTTGCTTGGTATAGAGGTGGACGTTAGATAATCTAAACAATATTCCTACAGCTGTAGTGGTGGAGGAGATATTGGAGTCAAATTAATATTTTTAAATGGGACCCTGTACTTTTTTTATCCGTGATATGATAGCGTTTGTTGAGACAAATACAATGACTCACAACATGATTTCATTCCATGTAGTAAAATGACATAAATGACATGCATGCATTTTAATCCATTCGAAAAGTACATTATACGATATAACAGTAACCCGAATATTTATTTTTATATAGATACTATAATATACGCGAAAAATAAGGGTGAAATTTTGAATAATTAATTACTTAAACAAATTTGAATAATTTATAAACATAATTTTTTATCGAATTAAAAAAGTAATAACATAATCAGATTCTACAACTCAAAAAAACCCTAAAACTGTTTTATTTATAATGAAAGGTGTAAACAACAATACTATTCATTTAGTTCGTGTTTTCGCGGATCCGAAATATCCGAAATATCAGCAATTCTTGCGTAACTTATTTTCCCGATCACACTGCTCTGGTATAGCAGACTACGGCTGCGGTCGCAATAAGCCTACACGAGTGTTTCACACACAAGACAGTTAATATAAACATTCATATTCTCTAATTTGTTTACACAATGTATGGATAATCGTCCATTCAATGTGCTGTTTTTAACCTGGAAAGATCAGTCGAAAGCTAAACGCACCCAAGAGAACTTAAAAATATTTAATTTTGGTTGAAGCAATTGAAATATCATCAGACACAAATACAGACATATATGAGCCGTTTATTTTGAAAGTGGCATAAGTCACTTTTTCAAAAAGATCGAGTTAATGGCTGTCTCTTATACACATCTAGAAGTGTATAAGAGACAGACATATATGAGCCGTTTATTTTGAAAGTGGCATAAGTCACTTTTTCAAAAAGATCGAGTTAATGGCTGTCTCTTATACACATCTAGAAGTGTATAAGAGACAGTATAACTTACTTATACTTACGTTTCAAAATGTACTAATTATTTTTGTATTTTATGAATATTAAAATAAAAAATACTTAAATCAAACCTTTATATTAAATATGTTCATGGTATAAATTATTATTATGTATGTAATTTATTCAACAATTTTAGTAAATCACTGTCCTTTCAAAACATCACTTCAGTAAAATACGTCGGACAAAATTAATATATGTCAGTCATTTTTCTAAACTATTTATTTTGAAAGTGGCATAAGTCACTTTTTCAAAAAGATCGAGTTAATGGCTGTCTCTTATACACATCTAGAAGTGTATAAGAGACAGTATAACTTACTTATACTTACGTTTCAAAATGTACTAATTATTTTTGTATTTTATGAATATTAAAATAAAAAATACTTAAATCAAACCTTTATATTAAATATGTTCATGGTATAAATTATTATTATGTATGTAATTTATTCAACAATTTTAGTAAATCACTGTCCTTTCAAAACATCACTTCAGTAAAATACGTCGGACAAAATTAATATATGTCAGTCATTTTTCTAAACTATTTATTTTGAAAGTGGCATAAGTCACTTTTTCAAAAAGATCGAGTTAATGGCTGTCTCTTATACACATCTAGAAGTGTATAAGAGACAGTATAACTTACTTATACTTACGTTTCAAAATGTACTAATTATTTTTGTATTTTATGAATATTAAAATAAAAAATACTTAAATCAAACCTTTATATTAAATATGTTCATGGTATAAATTATTATTATGTATGTAATTTATTCAACAATTTTAGTAAATCACTGTCCTTTCAAAACATCACTTCAGTAAAATACGTCGGACAAAATTAATATATGTCAGTCATTTTTCTAAACTATTTATTTTGAAAGTGGCATAAGTCACTTTTTCAAAAAGATCGAGTTAATGGCTGTCTCTTATACACATCTAGAAGTGTATAAGAGACAGTATAACTTACTTATACTTACGTTTCAAAATGTACTAATTATTTTTGTATTTTATGAATATTAAAATAAAAAATACTTAAATCAAACCTTTATATTAAATATGTTCATGGTATAAATTATTATTATGTATGTAATTTATTCAACAATTTTAGTAAATCACTGTCCTTTCAAAACATCACTTCAGTAAAATACGTCGGACAAAATTAATATATGTCAGTCATTTTTCTAAACTATTTATTTTGAAAGTGGCATAAGTCACTTTTTCAAAAAGATCGAGTTAATGGCTGTCTCTTATACACATCTAGAAGTGTATAAGAGACAGTATAACTTACTTATACTTACGTTTCAAAATGTACTAATTATTTTTGTATTTTATGAATATTAAAATAAAAAATATTTAAATTAAACCTTTGTATGAAATATGTTCATGGTATAAATTATTATTATGTATGTAATTTATTCAACAATTTTAGTAAATCACTGTCCTTTCAAAACATCACTTCAGTAAAATACGTCGGACAAAATTAATATATGTCAGTCATTTTTCTAAACTATTTATTTTGAAAGTGGCTTAAGTCACTTTACCGTAACGAAAAGTGGTGATTTTTTAATGTTTATACGAAATTATTTATACTGAGAAAAATATCAGTATCCTGAGATAACAAATACAAGTAAATCTTCTCGAAAGTTAGCATCCATATTTTTAAACGTGTTAAAACGCAAACCCTTAAATATATCGACTTGAAAACGAAGTGACTTATGCCACTTTCAAAATAAACGGCTCATATGTTCGAAGTATGAGTCTGAATCGAAGTAACCGTACATTTTTTAAATATCGTTGCAGACTTTTCCTTTTTTATACTTTCATATTTTTATGTTTGTCACACTTTTTACGTATTTTACTTTTGTAATCATTTTCATATTCATATATATCAGTGTTTCTTATATTTTTGTATATTTTAGTATTCACTATATATAAATGTATTTTATATATAAACTACATATAATATTTGATTAGTTAAAAAAGAAAAATTAAGCAAAAATTCTTAATAAATGCAAAGTTATTATTTTTGTCTCGAACGCCCGCGTACTCTATATGGATTTTCTCAGCATTACTGCTAAATCAATACAGAAATGTTTCGAACAAAATTTGATCGGTAATAAATAAACAAGAAATCGCAAGAGCGAGAATTAGCAGAAACACTTAGCGTTCAACAGAAGACGCTAATCACTTTAAATTTTTTTAAGCGACTGTATATACTTTCTTCGCTCCAATCGATGTATTTACGTATCTTCCTTAAAACGAAATATTAGGAGCATCAGATCGAAAAAATAACTAATCTAAAAGTTACGATTTTTGTCGCGAATTTCCGTACACACGAAGCACCGTGCAGCGTCGTGGTTCGTATGCGAAAAACATTGCCAGCACATTCGGAGTTGATAAATCGTCGCGATAAATGCAAGGAGTTCGTTCACAAGCTAATAAAAGTAAGACAACGCGTAGAAACTCGGCGGCCTCGAGCATTCGTGCCGATTCCTGCATCGATCCCATTATCGGGCGCGGCCCGAAAAGAGGGTCAGATAGTTTTCGAGACGCTTGAAGCACGTACCTGGTCGTTTCTTTCTATGGCTTCCTTAACGACAGTCGTCCATCGGGTCGCGGCCTCCTCAGTGTCGGCGGCGAGTCGAAGCGTCGGTGCGCCCTTTTTCTTTATCGCGAAACTATGTAACTTCAGTTCGGGCGTTTGCTCCACGTCGTACTTTATCAGCATTACCGCCCCCACTGGCTGTGAGTCCTGCGAATGAAATTGCACCCTCGTGAGCCGTACGTCGAATAAACGATCGTGTGTAAGACACTCGTCATTTCGTCGGGATTTGCGGGAGAGAATCGAAGGGAGCCGGGTTCCATTCCGACGGATCGTAATTAGCAGAACTCCCTTCGATAAAGAGTTCGCTGTTTAATTTCAGATAGCTGTGTGCTGTTGTTGGACAGCGAAGCCGGTTACTCTTGGCTGACCAATTACCGCGCCTTCGGCTCGTTCCCGCGCAATAATTAACTTTACATTTATCGGATAAGCACGTTCAATCTTTGCATTTTTTAATTTTCTTTTTTCTATTTTTTAATAAGAAATTTGTTTCATTCTTTCGTTTTTTGTTTCTTTCATTCAATTCAACGTGTTCGTTCTAATTGAAATCGTAGCGCAAGGGGTTAAATACTTTTATAAGAACTCCGACTTCGTTCTAAAAACCTTATCGAAGGAGCAAACGAGAAAATGATCGCATCACTCACCATGTCAGTCTTGTAATAGTAGAGGCAATTGTCACGGCGCAGGGCAAACCACCTTCGAACCCATTTGTCTGTGCTGGAGGCGGTCGTGGATTTCCTCCATAGGTAGCCGGAGCAAAGCGGTGCCTCGTCGGAACCCTCTTTGGTTCCTGGCCTGACGACCCTCGGCGCCAGCACGTTGCAGGTTCTCGCTACTTCGAGTTCGAGGACATCGGTGCCGGAGTGCGCGAGCCTTACGATTTCCGAGTGCGTCGCGTCCATGACACTTTTACCATTCACCGACATTATGATGTCGCCAACTTCGAGACCGGAGGTCTCCGCCGGCGTGTCGGGCTCGATGGCGGAAACCACCACCGGTTTCGAGCCATGAATGCGCAAACCGAACTCGCCGCCGGACTCGCGTTTCAGTACAACCCTCTTGTCGCTCTCTGCAATTAATACCACCCTCGTTAGTTGCCTGTATTACGGGCCGGGAATAGCGGGAAGTTTCATTCGAGCTCCGTTCGAGGGAAATTCTACCGGCCCTATCTGATCATGATAATCTTTGAATCGGATTGCTCTGTGCGCGCGTCTACGGCGCAGCCGGTTCCCTTAATGGTTTTAACTGGAAATTAGGATAATTTGGCGGACCGTTTACGCACTTGCAAACAAGTTGGGAAAAACGATCTTTCGATCGAACGTTATGTATTGTTTCGTCGCACTCGAGCGGCAACTCCGAGGCGCCATCAGAAAGATTGTTATATCACGTTCAAAAGTATTTTCGAGATCGTCGAATTTGTTTATATTTGAGAAACTGTGCGAAGTGTAATTGTTGCTTCAGTCACAAAATTCAACGTTGTATGTGTAAAATGCAGTGAGTTAAAATATTATTATAGTTAAGTTAAATATTATAGGTAAAATAGAGAAACTATTTTAGATTTCGAGAGTTAAAATGACTTCGAATGCAAAGGGTTAGACGCTTCGCGTGACGTTTTGTTTCGCCGAAGTTACGGTGGTCATGAAATAAATGTCAAAGTGATTGGACGATTAAGAAAAGAATTTCTGTTATAAGTAGTTTGCGGATGTTTATGCAAATGCATGTTTATAGCAAAAGAATAAATTGATGGAATCTGAATAGAAATTTGTTTCATCATTAGAAGACTCGAAAAATATAATTTCTTTTTTGCGTATTGCATTTGTCTTGTATATATCTGTCTTATTTCTGCAGATTTCGTATACAGGGTGTCCCAGCATCGATGGTACTACCGTGGGTGAGGGTGATTCTACATAAAAAAATCAAATTGAAAATAAAGAAAAAGATTGTTTCAGTTGTGGCTTCGTTGTCGTGATAATCGACTTTGAGGATTTAATATTTAATAAATATTTAAGTAAATAAATTACATGACTTATTTTCATGTAAATCTAATATAAATCCCCAGCCAGAATCTTGATAGTCTTCACAGGATTGAACTTTTGGTTTAGCAAATCAGATTTGCGTTTGGATAATTCATGAAACTGTATATAATATTCAGGTCAAAGTTGCATTTGACGAGTTTCAATTGTTCCGAGTTTTAATTGGGATTTTTTCACTGATCCACAGATTGTCCGCTAATGAACATACTCGTCCAGCTTGGTCATTAGATCCAGGTAGACATAAATAGAATTTTAAACATATTTTTTAAAAGGTACGTCTTTATATGCGAAGTATTTAAAAATGGCAACCCATCTGTGCTGAGAGAATTCATTATTTCCTCGCCACCATTCGATCTTTTTACTGGTTATGTAACTTATACTGTATGAAATTCTATCAAACAGTTGGCCGTCATTTATATTGACGAATTGAGGACCAAAACGACTGTCATCTTAAATAAGGAACGCATGGTCACCCGTAACTATAACCGGTGATGAAATTGTTAAGAATACTTTGATATCATTGACTAATTTATAGTTTGATAGAAAATAGAGAATTATATTGATAAACGTCTTCCTTATTTCAACATTTATTGCTATGCTTTTCGTGGCATACAACAACGACTTTTAGAAAAATACATTCTAGGTGGTTCACGATATTTGAGCTACTTCGGATAATCTAATGAAAAATTGTTTCAAACGAAAATCGATTGGCATTGAATCAAGAATTTACGGATGTGAAAAAACTGTGTTGAAAAATATCATTTTTTAAGCGAAAGACAAGAATCGTTTGTGGTACGAGTTACATTTTTTAAAATAAATTTCTTGTTTAAATTGCTTTCTGTGTGTGTGTGTAATCGAAGTTCAATTCAATCATATTGTAAGTTTTCTCTAATTGACGTTCAGACTATACACAAAAATTGACAATTTGGGAACAGGATTCTCTTTATAGTTTTAGCATAACTTATTTTTATAGTATAATTTTTATAGTTACTGATCAACAACAACTATAAAAACGAGCCGTAAGGCACGAATAGTCGTATCTACTCTTCTCAAATTGTCCACTTTTGTGCACAATTTGAGCGTCGATTAGGGAGAATTTATTGTAACTCAATTTCGCAATTTAATTACATTGTATTTCAATTACATGGTAATTCACACACAACTACATTGTGATTCAATTACATGAGTTCATAAGTTCAAACATAACATAAGTTCAATTGCAATTCTTCTGATGGATTACGATGCGTGAGATATTGTTTCGGAGATTTGCAAGCACAATGCGTTTTATCAATTTGTTTGTTTGTTTGTTCGTTTCTTTTTTTTTTATAATTATTATTAAAACTGATCGAATATAATCGGACACAACGTGTATGTATTGTCTGAATGATCTAAATGTAAGAGATTGTTCCGGGTGTGTGTTAGAGTTGGTAACGCATACGGGTCACTTTTCTGTAGAAGTTGTGCAAATAAATGCACAACTTTAATAAATATTATTTGTTCCTTTAAATACACTGGATATTAATATATATATATATATATATATATATATATATATATATATAT